ATTTCCTATGTGTAGATACATACTTACCATTATGTTACAGTTCCCTACAGTATTCAATACAGTAACATACTGTACATGTTTGTAGCCTAGGAGCAATAGGCTATCCTGTCTACCTTAGGTGTGTTGTAGGCTATACCATCTGTAATTGTGTAAGCACACTTTGATGTTGACAAAATGAAATCACCTAATAATGCATTTCTCAGAATATATCCCTGTTATTAAGTGATGTATCTTTTTATGTCTGAATAATATTAGATTATATGGATATGTCATACTGTATTTATCCATTCATTAGCTGATAGATGTTTAGGTTTTTCTCACTTGTTGGCTATTATGAATAATGCTTTTTTTTTTTTTTTTTTTTTTTGAGACGGAGTCTTACTCTGTTGCCCAGGCTGGAGTGCAGTGGCGCTATCTCGGCTCACTGCAACTTCCACCTCCCAGGTTCATGCAGTTCTCTATCTCAGCCTCCCAAGTAGCTGGGATTACAGGCATCCACCATCATGCCCGGGTATTTTTTTTTTTTTTTGCATTTTCAGTAGAGGCAAGGTTTTACCATGTTGGCTAGGCTGGTCTTGAACTCCTAAGCTCATGATCCACCCATCTGGGCCTCCCAAAGTGCTGGGATTACAGGCATGAGCCACCATGCCCAACCTGAATAAAGCTTATCGAAGAGTTTTGAAATAAGGATGATGAAAAGAAGGTAAAATATTGACAACTATTGCTTTTCCTTTTGAGACAGCCTTACTCTGTCACCAAGGGTGGAGAGCAGTTCTTGGCTCACTGTAATCTCTGCCTCCTGGGTTCAAGTGATTCTCGTATCTCAGTCTCCTGAGTAGCTGTGATCACAGGCATGTGTCACCATGCCCAGCTAATTTTTGTATTTTTAGTGCAGATGGGGTTTCACCATGTTGGCCAGGCTGGTCTCAAACTAAACTCCTAGCCTCAAGCAGTCCACCTACCTTGGCCTCCCAAAGTGCTGGGATTACAGGCATTAGCCACTGAACTGTTGCTTTTCTTAAATTATAATTAAGCAAAAATCTAAAGGGCAATTATGCCATTAATGAAATATCCAAAGTAGTACAGTGTTCTTATTTCATGAGGTCAGCATCTAAGCCCAAATTATTAAAAGTAGAATTTTGGCTAAAATTCCATAATTTGGCTTTGTTTTGCAGTGTGCCAAAGGCAGTAATGCATTTTTTGGTTAATCATGTGAAAGACACTCTTCAGAGTGAGCTAGTAGGCCAGCTGTATAAATCATCCTTATTGGATGATCTTCTGACTGAATCTGAGGACATGGCACAGCGCAGGAAAGAAGCAGCTGATATGCTAAAGGTACTGTGAAACTTTTGAGTTTTTATACTTTGGCAGTAGACAGAAATGCAGTTTGGATTCTTGGATATATATATGTGTGTGTGTGTGTGTATGTGTGTATATATATATGTATATATAGTCTTTATATTCTAGCTTGGTTTGTTTCTTGTTGGTACTTGATTAGATTCTAATTAGATTCTAATATTGGTTAATATAAACCTACCACATATACACTGGAAAAATTACCCTGCACAATTCTGATTAATTTCATAACTTTATAATAAGCATTTAAAATTTTTATTTCCTTTAATGCAGGCATTACAAGGAGCCAGTCAAATTATTGCTGAAATCCGAGAGACTCATCTTTGGTGAAGAGAACTATATACTACTCAGACTTTGTTGACTCAAAAACTTGCTAGTTACTGCCTGAGTAGAATTTTATTTATGAACTCCTGTGTACTGCAATGGCATGAATCTGCTCATGTGAAGACTGGCTATAAACTGAAAAGTGTATTCCATATTGCAGAACAAATCACACATTTAATCCAAATAATAAATGGCTGTTTCTAAAGTTTCCCAACATACATAAAATACATCAAGTCTGTCTTGTGACAGTTTCATCTAAACTTAAGAAGAACTGTTAATGTTCTAGTTGTACAAAGCAGTTTGCCTGTGGATAAGATGACCTGTGTAATCTTTGTTAGTAGTCTTAAAGCTGCTGCCATAGTCCTCCAAGAAGAAAGCACCAAGACAACATTTCATTTGACTATAATGCATGTACTGTATAAACTGAACTGGCTTTGAAAGATGTGGGTTGGCAAGTTCCTCACATACAGTCATTGTATTCCACCTGTCCTTCAATTTACTTTTTCTGAGCTACTCTGCAGCCTTTGATGTGTTTTTAAGAAAGCTGAATGCACAAGAGGATCTGTGACACGGACATGGATGTGGCGTGCATACTGTGTAGTTACATAGCCCTTCCAATTCTGGGTCCATTTGCCCTAGCATATTAAAATATGCTTTGATTCATACTTAAACCTGTAAGCATGAATGCCTACATTAATTCCTACATTAAAAACAACAGCCATCTACCCTTGATTATCTAGTAAGAGTTGGTAATGATGGCCGGTTCCTTTTAGTTTTAGAAGATCCAGTGATGACCTAAATTTCCCTTAACTTGCAAATACAGTAGTAGTAACAACGAAGGTACATCTTTAAAATGGAGCACTTACACCAGCCTCTAAGATTCACTTTGAGATGGGACTTAAAACCAATATACTGTATGTGTATGCTGGTAATAGCTACTTTTGCTTTAGCGCATACAAACAAAATATATTCCAACAAAATATATTAGAATAGTATGAAAGTACCGGAGGAGCTTTGTTATTGAAAGAAAAACACCCAGACAGACAAACTCCTTAAGACTTACAGACTTAAACTGCCATTTATGGGGTAGTGATGAGGTTTAGAACATATAAATCCCCAGGTGATTCTTGGTATAAACTACATTATAAATTTTAAGATATACCTGACATCCAGCCCCATCACTAACAGACAACATATTTATATTATAGATATTAAATTTTTTTCAGTTTATGATCAGATATTTATGAAGGACTATTGGCAGGGAAAATATGAATGTTAACTTTAGCTTACTGTACCAATTTACTAAGGAACAACAGGCTCGCCAACTGATCTCAAACATTAAAAATCCCATATAAGTCTGATATGATATGGCACTACCTTGAATCTGTTACTAGTACCATCTTGACGGGATACATGCTCCCAAAACTTTTGTTACCACATTTAAAAATCACTCTGCTGTCATTAAGCATCAGTTTCAAAATTATAGCCATCCACGATTTACTTTTTCCAGATAGTCTTCTGAATTCGTAAGGGGAAAAAACCCAAAAAACTTACGATGCACTTTTCTCTAGCACATCAGATTTCAAACTGAAAATTAAAGACATGCTATGGTAATGCACTTGCTAGTACTACACATTTTGTACAACGAAAAACAGAGGCAAGAAACTTAATGGAAAGAGAAAAAACGTTCTTTTGTTGGCCCTTAAACTGAGTCAAGTTCTGAAATGTAGAGATGATCTCTGACATTTACAATGGATACCTGTATGTTCTTGCTGTGTAAATAAAATTGCTGGTATGAAATGACATTAAAGTTTGTCAAAAAAATTCTTAGGTTTTCTCCCACAGAAAGGAAGAAAAGGAGCTTTTTAATATCTAAATCTACTTTGAAACAATCGTATAGAGTACTAAACGTTCTATGATTTTTTTCCTACCAGATTCTGACAGTTCACCAAGGTATTATTATATTGCCATTTTTGTGTATGAACACAGTGACTTGCTCCAAGTAATCCAGGTAGTAAATGGCTAGAATTTGAACACTAAAGCCATGCTCTGCAGCCTGTAAGATTTTCAAAAGAAATCTGATTAATCATTTCATATGTGATTCACTTGATCCTCAGGGCAACAGGGAGGCCCGGCCACTGCCTTTTTTTTCAGATATGGAAATAGTTCTGGAGAATTAATTTGCCTCATGTTTGCAGAGCTGAACTCAGTCTTGATTCCAAATCCTTTAGGTTTGACCTAAAAACTTTCCTTGCCTGGATACTTTTTAATATTCTCACGAGTGCATATTTTATTTTGGGGGGGTTATTTTTAAATTTACCTCTAGTTGTAATCTGTGTGGGGGCAGAAGTGGAAACTTAAAAATAATTTAAGTTCCTAAATTTGTAAAACGTTGCTATCTTAGGAATCCACTGACAAAAGGCTTAATGAGAATGGAGTGATACTGGAGCACAGGCAAGGAACTAGAAAGCTGAATTAGAAACTTCCTGAAAAGTCATGTACTGATTTTTGTACTATCCTTGTAAAGAAACAACTGCTTCTTACTGTAATTTCTCAAAGCAACCATGTCCTCATCTACCTTTTCTCCTTTTCAAAAAGAACTACAGTTGCTCCCTAAACTACAAAAAAAAACCAAAAAACAAAAAAAAAAAACAAATTTCTAATCAGCTTCTAATACTAGTTTTCCCATTTCTAATGTGGACACTAGAGGCACTGTTGATTTTATAAACAACTATATAACATTAGTGACATTGGTATGCCACACCTGATACAAAAACAGACACAATTTCCTTTTTTTTTTTTTTTGAGAGTCCCACTACTCACTCTGTCTCCTAGGCTGGAGTGCAGTGGCGCGATCTCGATGCACTGCAACCTCCATGTCCCGGGTTTGAGTGATTCTCATGCCTCAGCCTCTCTAGTAGCTGGGGGTTACAGGCACTTGCCACCAGGCCTAGCTAATTTTCATATTTTCAGTAGATAGGGTTCTTCCCTGTTGGTCAAACCAGTCTCAAACTCCTAGCCTCAAGTGATTTGCCCACCTTGGCCCCCTGAAGTGCTGGGTGTGAGCACCGAGCCCAGCCTCAGTTCCTTACACTACCTCTTTTCATTGTTCATCACTATAAAAAGGAGAATGGGAAGGGTAGGATAGGAAAGCCAGCATTTCTTTCTCTTCTGAAGTATAATTTTAAAAGGAGATTAACCCTGAAAATCATGGTTTTCTATGGTAATCAAGATTTGTACATCAGAAAATAAAACATCCCATTGCTAAATAAACACCTTATTTATTAACCAGCCCATAAAAATCAAATGAAGTTACTCACACTGAGTCCTAGTGTATACTCCATTCAGTTTTTCTGATTTCCACAAGCAAAGATCTAAGTTCTGGAGCCAGCCCTTCAGAGGTCTTGAGAATAAATGATGGGTAAGTATTTGAATAACCAGAAGGATTTTTCATCATAACTGAAGCCATTTTATAATGTAGAAATTTCTTTTTCCTATTTTAAGTAAGGAAAGTCCATTCTTGAGAATATGTTGTCCAACAATTAAAACGCTCTCAGGATTTGTTACTTGTTGGTGATTTATGCTGACTCCGCCTTCTGTTATCATTCGATACCTAAAAAATAGAAACGTTTAGTAAGTAGAGAGATCCAATCACTGTTGATCTGTCCCCCAAAAAAGACTGTTTCACTTACATTTCAGAGGCTCTTCAATTGAGAACATTTGGCAGTGGACTGTTACTTCATGTTCACTCTATTATTAATAGATTCTGCCTCCCTTTAATGCTCTTTGGGTTTTTTGTTTTTTAACACAGTCTTGCTCTATAGCCCAGGCTGGTGTGATCTTGGCTCACTACAATCTCCACCTCCCGGGTTCTAAGTGATTCTCCTGTCTCAGCCTCCAGAGTAGCTGGGATTATAGGCGCATGCCACCACACCTGGCTAATTTTATATTTTTAGCAGAGACGGGGTTTTGCCATGTTGGCTGCACTGGTCTCAAACTCCCAACCTCAGGTGATCCACCCACCTCCCCCTCCCAAAGTGCTAGGATTACAGGCATGAGCCACCATGCCCGTGCCCGGCTTCCTTTATGCCTTGCATCTGCTATTTCAAAGGCATAGTTAGCTTTTGCTATTCAATTAGTAGTGGTTTTAAAAATGAAGTGAAAAGGAATAATGGAGAATCCCCCCCCCAACTTGGGGGGGAAAAAAGAAAATCACAGAAAAGAAACTTCCAAAAGTAAAAGAGAACAATGCTGCTTTCAGTAAACTATCCACATAAGCCACAACTATAGTGCTATCTACAGAAATCCTTAGGAGACTTGCTTATGAAACTGGAAAATCCTTGCAAATTATATTGAGACTATGCAATTAATAGCAAATTGTTAAAATAAAAAAATTTCTTAAAATGAGATTGGCTGGTTTCAGAAATTGAAGATCCGTAGCTGATCTAATAAATTCGGGATTAGTAACCAAAATTTTTGATAGCATATATAAGGTTAAATAAGTTTCACTGGAGTTATTTATCCAATTCATTCACTAAACATTTACAGAGCTCTTTCTACATGCTAAATATAATTGGTATTGCAATCTAGCAGAGAGATAAAGACAAATGAACAATGAAACACACTGTGATTAATGCTATAAAGACCAAGGAGAAGTTGTTCTAGGAGCACACTGGGTAGGTGAGGGCTGAACATTTCTCTGAAAAAAAGATACTTTAATTGGGAGTGAAGCTACCTTGACAATCAGGACTCAGAAACACGGGAACAGCTAGAAAGCGGAGATTTGAGAAGAGCGCTAGAGCATGACTAGATTTGTGAGAAATCCTGAAGAAAGATAAATGGTGATTTTCTCTCATCTGAATGTGTTACCAAATAAAATTAAGAAACTACTGTACATGGTTTTAAAAATATTTTCATAACTTTTTGGGTAGAGACAGACTCTCACTATGTTCTTGCCCACAAAGATCTCGAACTCCTGGCCCCAAGCAATCCTCCTGCCCCTGCCTCCCAAAGTGTTGGGATTACAGGTGTGAGCCACCACACCTGGCCATGGACATGGTTTTATAAAATTCAACAGTAAAAGATTTTCTGGGGCATGGATCCAAGATGGCCGATTAGGAGCAGCTCAGGATTGCAGCTCCCAGTGAAAGCATGGACGGTGAGTGGATGCCGCATTTGCAGACAGATTTTTATTGCCCACAGACCAGGAGATTCCCAGGCAGAGGAGTCACACGGATCACCAGCGTGGCTGTTTTGGCCAGCACAGCTATTTTGGCCAGTGTGTTGGTTCTCTGCACAAAATAACACAGGTCCAGGCACCGTTTTAGCTGGCGATTGGAGCTCCTGGGAGACAGAGTCGCCCATTCAACTGATATAAAAGGGAACTGAAACAGGGAGCCAGGCCAGGAGATTCCTGGGCAAAAAAGTGCCATGAATCTCAGCGCAGCTGTTTCAGCTGGCGCAGTGGGTTGCCACACGGGAAATCACACAGATCTTGGCGCCTTTTCAACAGGCGACTGGAACACGTGGGAGACAGTCGCTTGTTCAACTAAAAAACAAAAAAAAAGGGCTCTGAAGCAGGGAACCCAGTGATCAGGCTCAGCTGGTCCCACCCCCACAAAAAAGCAATCTGAAATGCCTGGATTGAGAGTTTCAGAGCAAGCACAGCTGAACCCGGGATGGTCCAGCTCTGTGGGGGAGGGGCATCTGCCATTACCTAGGCAGTCGACCACTATGGAGGTAGTCCGTCGTTGCTCAGGCAGCCCACCATTACAAAGAGGGTCTGCCATTATAGAGGTGGGCTGCCATTGCTGAGGCAGGTCTAACTATACCTGTATAAACAGGACTGCAGGGAAGTTCACATGGCAGCTGGGCGGAGCCCAGAGCAGCTCAGCAAAGCCTCTGCAGGCAGAGTGACTAGGCTGCCTCCCGCTGGGCAGGGAAGCCTTGAAAAAAGGTAGCAGCACAATAAAAACTCATAAATAAAGCCTTAACTCCCCAGGACAGCACCTGGGGAAAAAAAAGAGGGTTTATGAGTTCTGCTGCAACAGACTTAAATGTATCTGCCCAGCAGCTCTGAATGAACGATGGAGCTCACAGCTCAGCACTTGAACTCCTATGAAGGACAGACTGTCTCCTCAAGCAGCTCCCTGACCCCCATATATCCAAAGAGTCACCTCATAAAGAAGAGTTCAGACTGACATCTGGCAGGTAACTTTCTGGAACAAAGATAGCAGAAGAAGAAACTGGCAGGAACCCTTACTGCTCTGCAGCTGCTGCAGGTGATCCCCAGGCAAGCAGGGCCTGGAGTGGACCTCAGCAGTTCTACAGCAGAGGAGCCTGACTCTTAGAAGGAAAACTAAGAAACAGAAAGAAGTAACTTCATGATCAACAAACTGGACGTCCACTCAGAGACCCAATCTGAAAGTCAACAACTGTGAAGACGACAGGTGGATAAATAAAGTACCAGCCACTCCAAAAACATACCAAATGGTAAAGAGCATCAACAAAATGAAGAATCTGCATCAACTAACGGGCAAAACAGCCAGCTAGCATCAAAATGGCAGCATCAAGTTCACACATAACAATATTAACCCTAAATGTAAACGGGCTAAATGCACCAATCAAAAGACACACACTGGCAAATTGGATAAAAAGGCAAACCCATCAGTGTGCTGTATCTAGGAAACCCATCTCACATGCAAGGATACACAAAGGCTCAAAATCAAGGGATGGAGGAAGATTTACCAAGCAAATGGAGAGCAAAAAAAAGCAGGAGTTGCAATTCTCATCTCTGATAAAATAGACTTTAAACCAACAAAGATCAAAAGAGACAAGGAAGGACATTACATAATGGTAAAAGGATCAATGCAACAAGAAGAGCTAACGATCCTAAATATATATGCACCCATAGAGAAGCACCCAGATACATACATAAAGCAAGTTCTTAATGACTTACAAAGAGACAGACTCCCACACAATAATAGTGGGAGACTTTAACACCCCATTGTCAATATTATATCAACAAGACAGAAAATTAACAAGGATATCCAGGACTTGAACTCAGACCTGGACCAAGCAAACCTAATAGACATTTACAGAACTCTCCACCCCAAATCCACAGAATATACATTCTTCTCAGCAACACATCACACCTACTCTAAAACTGACCACATAATTGGAAGTAAATCACTCCTCAGCAAATGCAAAAGAACGGAAATCATAACAAACAGTCTCTCAGTCCACAGTGCAATCAAGTTAGAACTCAGAATTCAGAAACTAACTCAGAACCACACAGCGTCATGGAAACTGAACAACTGGCTCTTGAATGTTGACTGGATCAAAAATGAAATGAAGGCAGAAATAAAGATGTTCTTTGAAACCAACAAGAATGAAGGAAGACACAACTTACCAGAATCTCTGGGACACCTTTAAAGCAGTGTCTAGAGGAAAATATATAGTAATAAATGCCCACATGAGAAGCAAGGAGATCTAAAATGGACACTCTATCATCAAAATTGAAAGTGCTAGAGGAGCAAGATCAAAAAAACTCAAAAGCTAGCAGAAGACAAGAAATAACTAAGATCAGAGCAGAACTGAAGGAGATAGAGACACAAAAAACCCGTCAAACAATCAATAAATCCAGGAGCTGGTTTTTCGAAAAGATCAACAAAATAGACGGACCACTAGCCAGATTAATAAAAAGAAAAGAGAATAATCAAATATATGCAATCAAAAACGATAAAGGGGATATCACCACATATTCTACAGAAATACAAACCATCATTAGAGATTATTACAAACAACTCTATGCACATAAACTATTAAACCTGAAGAAATGGATAAATTCCTGGACACTTGTATCCTCCCAAGCCTAAACCAGGAAGAAGTCTAAACCCTGAATAGACTAATAACAAGGTCTGATGTTGAGGCAGCAATTAAGATCCTACCACACAAAAAAAGCCTGGGTACAGATGGGTTCACAGCTGAATTCTACCAGACATACAAAGAGGAGCTGGTACCATTCCTTCTGAAACTATTCCAAATAATCCAAAAAGAGGGAATCCTTCCTAATTCATTTTATGAGAACAACATCATCCTGATACCAAAACCTGGCAGAGACTCAGCAAGAAAATAAAACTTCAGGCCAATATCCATGATGAACACAGATGCAAAAATCTTGAATAAAATACTGGCAAACCGATTGCAACAGCACATCAAAAAGCTTATCCACCATCATCAAGTAGGATTCATCCCGGGGATGCAAGGCTGGTTCAACATACGCAAGTCTATAAACATAATTCACCACATAAACAGAACCAAAGACAAAAACCACGTGATTATCTCAATAGATGCAGAGAAGGCCTTTGACAAAATTCAACAGCCTTTATGCGAAAAACCCTCAATAAACTAGGTATTGATGGAATGTATCTCAAAATACTAAAAGCTATTTATGACAAACCAACAGCCAATATCATACTTAATGGGCAAATACTGGAAGCATTCCCTTTGAAATCTGGCACTAGACAAGGATGCCCTCTTTCACCACTCCTATTCAATACAGTACTGGAAGTTCTAGCCAGAGCAATCAGGCAAGAAAAAGAAATAAAGGGTATTCAAATAGGAAAGATGGAAGCCAAATTGTCTCTACTTGCAGACAACATGATTGTATATCTAGAAGATCCCATCGTCTCAGCCCAAAATCTCCTGAAACTGATAAGCAACTTCAGCAAAGTCTCAGGATACAAAATCAATGTGCAAAAATCACAAGCATTCCTATACACCAATAATAGACTTAACGAGAGCCAAATCAAGAATGAACTGCCATTCACAATTGCTACAGAGAGAATAAAATACCTAGAAATACAACCACAAGGAATGTAAAGGACCTCTTCAAGGAAAACTACAAATCACTGCTCAACGAAATGAGAGAGGACACAAACAGATGGAGAAACATTCCATGTTCATGGTTAGGAAGAATCAATATCATGAAAATGGCCATACTGCCCAAAGTAATTTATAGATTCAACACTATCGCCATTCAAGCTACCAATGACCTTCTTCACAGAAGTGGAAAAAAACCACCCTAAACTTCATATGGAGCCAAAAGAGAGCCCACATGGCCAAGTCAATTCTAAGCAAAAAGAACACAGCAGGAGGCATCACACTACCGGACTTGCCTACAGTAATCAAAACACTATGGTACTGGTACTACAAGGCTACAGTAATCAAAACACTATGGTACTGGTACCAAAACAGAGATACAGACCAATGGAACAGAACAGAGGCCTCGGAGGCAACATAACATATCTATAACCATCCGATCTTTGACAGGCCTGAAAAAAACAAGCAATGGGGAAAGGATTCCCTGTTTAATACATGGTGTTGGGGAAACTGGCTAGCTATGTGCAGAAAGCAGAAACTGGACCCCTTCCTGACACCTTACACTAAAATTAACTCCAGATGGATTAAAGACTTGAATGTAAGACCTAACACCATAAAAACCATAGAAGAAAATCTAGGCAAAACCATTCAGGACATAGGCATAGGCAAGGAATTCATGACCAAAACACCAAAAGCACTGGCAACAAAAGCCAAAATAGACAAATGGGACCTAATCAAATTCCACAGCTTCTGCATGGCAAAAGAAACAGTCATCAGAGTGAATCAGCAACCAACAGAATGGGAAAAAATTTTTGCAGTTTACCCATCTGACAAAGGGCTGATATCCAGAATTATAAAGAACTAAAACAGATTTACAAGAAAAAAACAAGCCCATTAAAAAGTGGGCAAAGGATATGAACAGACACTTTATAAAAGAAGACATACACGAGGCCAACAAACATATGAAAAAATGCTCATCATCACTGGTCATTAGAGAAATGCTAATCAAAACTACATTGAGATACCATCTCACGCCAGTTAGAATGGTGATCATTAAAACTGGAGACAACAGATGCTGGAGAGGATGTGGAGAAATAGGAACACTTTTACACTGCTGGTGGGAGTGTAAATTAGTTCAACCATTGTGGAAGACAGTGTGGCAATTCCTCAAGGACCTAGAAATAGAAATTCCATTTGACCCAGCAATCCCATACTGGGTATATATTCAAAGGATTATAAATCATTCCACTATAAGGACACATGCACACGAATGTTCACTGTAGCACTATTTACAATAGCAAAGACCTGGAACCAATCCAAATGCCCATTGATGATAGACTGGACAGGGAAAACGTGGCACATATACACCATGGAATATGTGCCATCAGAAACGATGATTTTGTGTCCTTTGTAGGGACATGGATGAACCTGGAAACCATCATTCTCAGCAAACTGACACAAGAACAGAAAATCAAACACTGCATGTTCTCACTCATAGGTGGGTGTTGAACAATGAGAACACACGGATACAGGGAGTGGAGCATCACACACTGGGGTCTGTCGGAGGGAAATAGGGGAGGGACAGCAGGGGGTGGGGTGTTGGGGAGAGAGAGCATTGGGAGAAATGCCAGATACAGGTGAAGGGGAGGAAGGCAGCAAATCACACTGCCATGTGTGTACCTATGCAACAATCTTGCATGTTCTTCACATGTACCCCAAAACCTAAAATGCAATTAAAAAAATAAAAATTCTAAAAAAAAGGCCAGGCGCGGTGGCTTACGCCTATAATCCTAGCACATTGGGAGGCCGAGGCGGGTGGATAATGAGGTCAAGAGATCGAGACCATCCTGGTCAACAAGGTGAAACCCTGTCTCTACTAAAAATACAAAAATTAGCTGGGCATGGTGGTGCACGCCTGTAGCTCCAGCTACTCGGGAGGCTGAGACAAGAGAATCGCTTGAACCCAGGAGGCGGAGGTTGCGGTGAGCCGAGATCATGCCATTGCACTTCAGCCTGGGTAACAACAGCGAAACTACGTCTCAAAAAAAAAAAAAGGAAAGAAAAAAGAAAAAAAAGATTTTCCACTTAAGGACAGATTCCTTTTTTAGAATGTATTATTTTAGACTGTTTGCTAGTTTCCAGATCATGTTCTATGTTTTGTTTAAATGCACCAACCCTAATTTAGCTTATATAATATAAAAATATATAATCAGTATTACTTAAAACGCTGGCTAAATTAGATGTAGTGTCTAGTAGTGGTAAAGCTTCCAGTACTAGCGAACACACTGTAGTAAAGTTCAGAAGAAAATGAAATCTACCTCCAGAGTGAGGGAAATTCTTTGTCTCAGTGGCTTATATTAGGGAAGTATATGACACCATCCTCAAATTCACTGTGTATTAAACCAGCAGATGAGGGAATCACTAAGGTGGAGTGGCAGGTGATGCAAAGGGAGATAATGGGTGTTTTTTTTTTTTTTTTTTTTTGAGATGGAGTCTTGCTCTGTCACCAGGCTGGAGTACAGTGGCACAATCTTGGCTCACTGCAGCCTCCACCTCTTGGGTTCAAGTGACTCCTGTGCCTCAGCCTCCTGAGTAGCTCGGAATACAGCCCCTTGTCACCACACCTAATTTTTTTTTTTTGTATTTTAGTATAGACAGGGTTTCACACTGTTGGCCAGGATAGTCTCCATCTCCTGACCTCATGATCTGCCCACCTAGTGCTGGGATACAGGCGTGAGCCACTGTGCCCAGCCGATAACAGGTACTTTCTTCAGGCAGAAGAGTCTAGGACTCTTTAGGACAGAGGCAAATAATCCATGAAAACTGAAAGAGAACAGCAACCATAATATAACAAATGTCATTCGTAATCATTGCCACGGGCTGGGGCTGATAACCATTTGACTTATGGGTGAACTCCTGTAAAAGAGGCACCTGGGGTCTTCTGGCTACCCAACACTTTTCCTTCCACCTTGCTGTTCATTTAAAAATGGGTAAGCATCAATTACAGTCTGAACGGCTTTTTGTGGAACTATTTATTCCTTAATACCTCATAACTGAGGAATTAAAATATTCCACTCAATTCCTGAATAGAAAAATGAAATTCTCAAGGGGATTATTATATAGTTTATAATAGTCTTACGAAGTTACTAGGTTGGTACAAAAGTACTTGAGGTTTTAGCCATTATATGCTCATTTCATTTTCAGAAATTCAACTACTACTATAGATAGTTTAGGTAACCTTTTCCATTCCTGAAAATAAAGAGGATACAGACTGAGTATGAGAGGGGCTGTGTTAATCTGCTTACATACGGCCTCTGTTTCTGTGACCCTCTACAATTGTGACCATATCCCTAAGCCATATGCTGATGCCAGTGTATTTACTAAACATGTCCCTCAAATGCACTTTTGCAGTGTTGGAGGAAAGACTGACTGGGTTATACTTAATAAGAAACAGTATAGAAGTATTGTAGTTTTATAGAAAATGTAAGGTATTTTCAACAATAAGTACTCTCAGGTTATACTTTATTCTTGGACTAATCTAATCTCTTTATGGAGGAGACGCCACTAAAGCATGATCAGGAAAACACCCTCTCTGGGAACACATGCTGTGAACTGCAACATTTAATGGTGAATGAAGCGTAAATCTAAAAGTTAAATAATCTTACCCTCGGGGACCATCTGGAATGGCATTTGCTTTGCGGCAGGTATCTAGAACACTTGTTCCAGGATCCAGAACTAATTCAGAAAATGGAGCTTCTTTAAACAGCTCTTTTAACTCTTGATCAGACATGTCCTCCAGTGCATCTATGCTACTGTGATAAAGGGCTTGTGTACACCTGAAAAACACATTTTAAGAGCCATATCAGGTAACTGCTTATTCAAATACAGGTTCTAATACCCATTAACCAATTACAGAGTGTCCAAGTTCTAGACTAGAAGCTTTTAAAACATCTATCTGGTATAATTCATAAACTTAGTTAAAGGTAATCCTTCTTTCCAATAAACAGGCTATCCTAAATCACTAAGTCAAATACTGACAATGCTTGTCAGTGATAAATGACAAGACAACCCTAAAACAGCACACCTCCTACTTTCCTCATGTCCATCCATTAAATAACCATCAAGTGTTATATAATTACTCTAAATGAGTACCTTTTAGCAGAGTCCAGTCCTTCTCGTCCATGAACAAGCTTTGTTACTTCTGCTGCCAGTCGTTTCTGAGGACCCCGCCGTTCTGGCTCTTTGACATGCAGGTGCATGATATGATCAATTTCTGGAAGGGGCAGAAAAGTGAACAGCTTCAGGTACCTTCGGGGAAAAAAGAATAAAGTGTAACACTTACATCACACACCTAATTTTTATCTCCAGCTCCCTTTCAGGTTATGCTTATTTTTAAATTTTTTATTTTTAAATATGAAACACACATGCAGAAATATACTGAACATAGCAGGCCCAGAACACACTTCACCCAGATTTAAGATGTTACTATTCTGGCATCTTTGTTTTCAATTTCTTAATTTTTTTTTGAGATAGGGTCTTGCTGTTGCCTAGGCTGGAGTGCAGTGGCATGATTATGGCACACTGCAACCTCAAACTCCTGGGCTCAAGCAATTCTACCACCTCAGCCAAGTCTTGAGTAGCCGGGACCACAGGCTTGTGCCACCATGCCTGGCCAATTCTGTAATTTTTTTGTAAAGACAGGGTCTCCCGTGTTGCCCAGGCTCATCTCAAACTCCTGGGCTCAAGCGATCCTCTTGTCTCAGCTTCCCAAAATGTTGGGGTTACAGGCGTGAGCCACCACGCCCAGCCTCGACTTTCCTTTTTAAAAGGAATAAAACAGGCATAGATGAAGGCCCCAGTCCAATTACATTCCCTTGCTTGCCACCAGAGATAACCATAAATCCAAGTTTATGTGCTGCCATCCTTCTCATGCATGTTTTTATACTTTTATGTCCATGTGGCCATAAAAAAAGTACTGTGTAATTTAAAAACTGATATAAATCATCATGCTTTGCATAATGGTTTCTGTCAATGACAAACTGCATATACCAGCGGTCCCCAACCTTTTAGGCACCAGGGGATGATGGGGAGGGGAGGTGGTTTCAGAATGAAACTGTCTGCCCTCAGATCATCAGGCATTAGTTAGATCCTCATAAGGAGTGCGCAACCTAGATCTCTTGCATGCACAGTTCACAATAGGGTTGGTGCTCCTATGAGAATCTGATGCTGCTGCTGATCTGACTGGGGATGACCCAGATGGTAATGCTCTCTCGCCTGCCACTAGGCTCCTGCTGTGCAGCCCTGTTCCTAACAGGCCACGAACTGGTACAGTCCAACAGTGGTCCAGGAGATTATAACACCTTAATTTATTGTACCTTTTCTATGTTTACATATACAAATACCCTTGCATTAACACTGCCTCCAGTATTTACTACAGTAATGTGCTGTACACATTTGTACCCTAGGAGCAATAGGGTACACTGTATAGCTTAGGTGTGTAGTAGGCTATGCCATCTATGTTTGGGTAGGGACAATCTATGATATTTGCAATGATCAAATCACCTAACAATGTATTTCTGAGAATGTATCCCTATTGTTAAGTGGTACATGACTATAATATTATCCTATATGTATTCTCTTTTTTAACCTTTTCTTTGGTGAAATATATATAACACATGGAAAAAATTACATTATTCACAAAGATACCGCTTAATGAATCATAAAACTTCTATGTCACAATCACCATGGTTAAGAAATACAGTATTGGCTGGGTGTGGTGGCTCATGCCTGTAATCCCAACATTTTAGGAAGCCGAGGTGAGCATATTACGAGGTCAGAAGTTCAAGGCCAGACTGACCAAAATGGTGAAGCCCCGTCTCTACTAAAAATACAAAAATTAGCTGGGCATGGTTGCATGCACCTGTAATCCCAGCTACTTGGGAGGCTGAGGCAGGAGAATCGCTTGAATCTGGAAGGTAGAGGTTGTAGTGAGCCGAGATTGCACCGCTGAACTCCAACCTGGGTGACAGAGTGAGACTCTGTCTCAAAAAAAAAAAAAAAGAAATACAGTATTGCCCCTACCCAAGAACAAGCAAACGTATCACACAACCCTCCAAGTAAATCACTATTTTGCCTTTCACAGTAATCACTTCCTCGTTTTTCTTGATACTTTTAACATCTCAGTATGCCTCCCTTAAGAGCATCACTTAATTTTGCCTGTCCTTAAGACTTTATATAAAAGGAATCATACAGAATTTATTTCCTGGCACAGCAGTATGTTTAGGATATTCATCCATAATGCTGCATGGACAGCATTCCATGCTATGAATATCCTACAATGTGTTTACTTATTTTTGTACTGTGGACTGCTGTGCTATTTCTACTTTTAGACAATTGCTATTAATGCTGCTCTGAATAGCCTCATATACCTCTTGGTGCACATGTGCATTAATTTCTGTTGGGTACATGCCCAGAAGAAGACTGCTGGATCACAGGGTATGTGCATATTTAGCTTTAGTAGGTACTGCCAAATGTTTTTCCAAAGTGGTTCTATGTGTTTATTTTCCCACCACCTTGGAACATTCTTGTCAGCACTTGGTTCCAACAACTCTTTTGTTTAGCCATTATGGAGGGTGCATATTGGTATCTCATTGTGCCTTTATCTTGTGTTTTTCTTCTCGGTGAGAAGGTTAAGCACCTTTTTCTGTTTTTGGCCTTTGGATAGGATTTTTGTGAAGTACCTCTTCAAGTCTCTTTTCATTGTACTGCTGGGCTGTCTTTTTCTCACTGGCTTAGAGAAATTTTTAGTATTAAAATAAATATATTTAATACAGTATTTACATAGTTTTCCATTTTTTAATTTTTAAAATTATTTAAAATTTTTTTGTGAGTATATAGGTGTATGTATTTATGGGATACATGAGATGTTTTGACACAGGCGTGCAATGTGAAATAAGAAATCCTTTATATTAATTTGAATACAAGCCCTTTATCATTTAGATACACATATTGAAAATATCTTCTCCCACTCTTAAGTGACATATAATGAACAAATCTTATTTTTAATTTAGCAATCCTTTCCTTTTGTGTCCTGTTTAAGAATCATTCCCTATCTTAAAGTCATTTTCCTATTTCTCTAAAAGCTTTATTGTTTTGTCTTTTATTTTAGATTTAGGTCTATAACCTACCGTGGACTGACTTTTGTGTACTGTGTAAGGTTAAGTTTCATTTTTTTCACCCACAACAACATCTAACTAATGGAGCAATAGTCACTGAAGACTGTCTTCCCTAACTGCAGTGCCACCTTTGTTAGAGGTAAGGAGACCAGATATGCTAGAATGTGTCTAGATTCTCTAATCTGTGCCATTGGTCTCTTAACTTTACATTTAAACATGTACCTTTAAACCTAAAGGTCATTATTAGAATTAATGAGTTTGTCAGAGTTGCTAGATTTAAAGGTAATATATATAAAGCAATTGTCTTTCTGTACACCAGAACCAGAGAGAAAATGCAATTTTCAAAAAGCTTATCAATTCTCTAGGCCAGGGGCGGAAACTCAAGTTGATAATTCTAGCACTTTGGGAGGCTGAGGCAGGTGGCTCACTTGAGGTCAGGAGTTTGAGACCAGTCTGGCAAACATGGTGAAACCCTGTCTCTACAAAAATACAAAAATTAGCCAGATGTGGTGGTGCATTCTTGTAGTCCCAGCTACACAAGAGAATTGCTTGAACCCAGGAGGTGGAGGTTGAAAGGAACCAAGATCATGCCACTGCACTTCAGCCTGGGGGCTAAACACTGTCTCAAAAAAAAAAAGAAAAAAACAAACAGATGATCAATTCTCAATACACCAAAACCCTAGAACTATATCATCAAACATTCTAAGAATAAATCTAAAGAGGAAAAAAAATATATAATTACTGACATTTTGTAATAAGGCATGATCATCTTCCACTCTGTTCTTCAAAAACATCTTGGCCAATCTTAGCCCTTTTTATTTCTATGTAAATCTTAGAATGAGCTTGTTAATTCCACAAAAAGCCGGTTTAGTTATGGTTGCTGCTATACTAAATGTAGACCAAATCCAGAACCGGTATCTTGGTTGGGTGTGGTGGTTCCTGCCTGTAATTTGAGGACTTTGGGAGTTTGAGGCAGGTTGATCACTTGAGTCCAGGAGTTTGAGACCAGCCTGGGCAACATGGTGAAACTTCAACTCTACTAAACAAACATATAAAAAATTAGCTGGGCATAGTGGTATGCACCTGAGCCTGGGAATTCCAGGCTACCGTGAGCTGAGATTGTGTCACTTCACTCCAGCCTGGGCAATGGGAGTCAGATTCTGTTTCAAAAGAAAAACTAAAAACTGATACCTTTTTGCATTACAAATATGGTCTAACTCTCCGTTTACATAGGTCTTTATTTTACTCAGTAGTGTCTCTTAATTTTTTGCAGGAAAATCATGTATTTTTTTAAGTCTTAGAGAATTATTCCTACATGATACAGAGTATCAAAATAATTTTTTCACTATCTTTTTGTTGCAGGTGTATTTATTTCTCATTCCTATTATTCTAAGAGTTTAAGGCAATTTGAATTAAGGAGAAAGTAATTTCTTAAGAGGGTCTTTAAAGTCGTATTTGTGAGAGAATAGAGACAAAGGAAAAATAAGGGTAGTCAAGTTTAAGATGAAAGGAGTGAAAAAACTAGAAATATGCAAGTGATAAAATCCTAAGAACTTGCTAGCTATAGATCAAAAAGTTGGCTCTACATTTTCTAGTCACCCGCTGCGGTTTTTCTGCTTTAACCGACAAAGTGTTTAACTTTAGAACAGAGTAAACATTAGTCTTCTATGACATAATGGTTTATGTGCAGACAGAAACTATGTTAAAAACAAACGAACAAAAAACTATAAAATGTACACAGATTCAATGGCTAAAATTACATCATGAGTTTATAGTGTCAATTTTTCTCAGCCCACTACTCAGAACTCACCTTTCCACTGAATCGTCTGGCTGTCTGACAAAGAATTGATACAATTCAAATGGAGATGTCTTATCTCTGTTTAGCCAAACAGCGTTGCCAGCAGACTTTCCCAGCTTTGCTCCAGTTGTACTTGTAATTAGAGGAACAGTGATTCCAAATACATCTTCTCCAGTCAACCTATGCAAAAAGAACAACTTCATTATGTGCCTAAAGCACAAGTGGTGGTAGGTTCCACTGTTTACCCTCCAAATTTCTTTTTGGTTACTTGCTCCAGGAAAACTTCCTTGACCTCCTAAATCTGAATTCTTGTCCCTCTCATGTGCTATTACAGTACTCACCGTATTCATTCCGAACGCAGCGAGTGGTACCAGGCAGGTTCTAGGCAGGCCAAAGGGAAGTGCTACATAACAATGGACTAGAGATTTTGCAAGGCTGAGTGGGAAGGGGAGAGTTTGGTGAAGAGGTGTCAGGAAGAGACACTAAAGGAAATGTTCTAAACGGCTTTAAACATGTGTTTTACTCTGTAGCACAGGAGCTAGCCTTATGTCATCTCTCTCAAGACAATGCTATTAGACCCACATTACTTGTCAAATATTTGCAGTTGAAAAAACTTTTTGAGATACCAACCAAGGGCTGACACTAGTTTCATGGAGGGTGCAGACCTAAAGCAGAGGCTGGCTACTCAAGGAGGTCCAGTCACGTTCTGGTGTAAACATACAAAAGCAGTTTCTCTAATAAGGGAGGACGACTTACAGGAAGCAAAACAAACCGACCCTGACCAAATAAATCTTGACTAGTGGTCTGTTTCCTGCAGGGCTTTAGAATACACTGTTTTTTTTTTTTTTTTTTTTGAGAGGGAGTCTCCCTCTGTTGCCCAGGCTGGAGTGCAGTAGCGCGATCTCGGCTCACTGCAAGCTCCACCTCCCAGTTTCAAGCGATTCTCCTACCTCAGCCTCCCAAGTAGCTGGTATTACAGGGGTGCGCCACCACACCCAGATAATTTTTGGCATACACCGTTTACTCTTAATATCCTTAATTCAGCCCTTTAGTTTGTATCAGCCAGTGTTATTAATGCCATTATAGAGCCTTAATGGGGATAAAACCAAGAGCTGGAACGAAGGGCAGCAACCTACAATCCTAAGAGTGAAACACAGGCTACTCGTGTGTAAATTATTTAGTCCCAAGATTCCCCCCGGTTCTAAAGGCACTTACTTGTGGATGAACTCATATCCAGACATGATGTTGCCCAGCTGATCAGATCCGCCCAGCTGGACCCTGCATCCATAACGCTGGAAGAGGTAATAGAAGTCATAGGCCTGGAGCACCTGGTAAAAGAACTCGGCCAAGCTCATGCCCTCGGGGCTCTTGAGCCGCATCTGCACGCTCTGCCGGCTCAGCAGCGTCCCCATGCGGAAGTGACCCCCCACTGCCGCCAGGAAGTCCACCAGGTGCTGCTTCTGGTACCAGGCCGAGTTGTCCAGCACGGTGAAGCTGCCCCAGGGGCGCCCATCAGAGAAAAGCTGCTGGTGATTTGCCGCTAGGGCCTCAAGCTCTAAGCGCAGGGCGCGCGCGTTGGCTTGCACGCTCTCTTTCTCCAGCGCTTCGCGCTCCTTGGTCCGGCCGCTCGGGTCTCCCAGGCGCGCCGTGGCGCCTCCCACCAGCGCGATCACGTTGTGGCCCGCTCGCTGTAAATGAAACAGGCCCAGCAGCGCTAGCAGATGACCCACATGAAGCGAGTCGGCCGTGGGGTCGAAACCACAGTAAATGGTTTGGGGAAAACTCGCCGTGCCACGGTTGAAGAGCTCTGGGAGCTCTATTTTCGTCCCCCTCTCTGGGAAGAAGTCCTTGAACAGACCCCGAGCCTTCTGCGCTGCCAGTAACCCATCAGCGCCCGAGTGGGCCTTACGTAGCCCCAGGGGCAAGAATCCTGAGAGATTTAGGGTACCAGACCACCGGAACCAGGAAAAGCACCGAAAGATGGGCGCCGCCATCTTGGTGGCGGCACGAAAGGAATGCTGGGATTGTAGAGGCCCCCGTCACACCCACATGCTAACAGCTCCCAGGGAAGGCGTTTCAATGTTTTTCTGCGCATGCCCGAGGCGGTTACGTAGTTACCGAGCTTGCGCTCTCAGCAACAGAGTTCGGGCTCCAGGTGGCGATTCCATCTCAGGTCCGTCGCGCTAAGTTCCTTAAAGCTTAATTTCTTCATCCGCAGTGAGGATCTGCTTATAATAGTTCCTACCTCATAAGGCTGTTGTGAGACTTAAGAATTAAAGCCTTTGGCACCTAACGTTCCGCCAATGTTAACTTGTATTTGAATTTTCACTTAAAAAGATTGTGGTGCGCAAGTTGTTTGAAATCCTGGTTTCATGCAAAAAGCTGCTCACAGATGTTGAGAAAGGTTACGAATTGGTTTAACTTCAGGACAGTTAAGGAGTTGCTGCTGAGACGCAAGCAATTTCATAGTACTGATTCTCTAATTGCACCTCAGTCTTCAATATTCATTAGCTTTTCCAGGAGGTGGCAGTCTTGTACAAGCTATAGCAAGAAAAAGTCCAATAAAGTACATGCATCAAGTCCTGTGATTTGTTTATTTTAAATACAGGTAACTAGGTTGGGACACAGCTTAGCATGAGTGGATTCAAATTACTAATCACATCTCAATTAGTAATCACATCGTGCAACGGGACAGGTGTTCTGAATACTGACCAGGGATGAGGTTCTTATTGGCAGCTGGCTGACAGGTGATCTAGCTTCAAAATCCCATGTCGGAGCCTGATTTGTAGGACCGCTTTCAAAACCATCTTAGTTAGAATTCCCTGGACTCTGAGTTGGAGGGAGGACTGGTTTGCAGGAGGATTATTGGAGTGTGCTTATGAACAACACCTATAATGGAGTGAGGGAAGCCGGGTTGGGTAGAGGGAGAAAGTTGTTGAACTGTAAACAATTTGTAATAGAGGCCTCAGGCAATCCCATAAAGGCTTTGGAGTCATCCTGGGATTTCCTTTCTGAGTCATCCTGAATTGAGACCAGAGGGCAGACTTTAGACTCTCAAACTGACAGATCATTAAATGTGGACGTTTCCAGGGAGGAAGCAAAAGGCTGGGTAAGGCTTTTGGAGAGGGAGAGGTGCACAAAAGGACTCCACTAACACTCCCAGCAGCTGGGGCATTGAGTGCCTTGGTCCTGGGGCCAAGATCTGAGCCATGTTCCAAAGCATTTCCTACAAGACTTTTCCATTTTTTAACGTTACAAAGTCATCTAATGAAAATGAAAACTTATTTTAATAATTAGTTCCTTTGCATGTATAATTATCAGTGAATTAGTTTCTCATTGCCAAATAATGACTTCAATAGGATTTTGAGATACTCATTCAATAGACTATTATACTCCCTACTGCTTAAGAAAATAGTGTGTTCTTTCACGTTATTATTCAAAATATCTTAAAATTTGCAATCATAACCTGTTGATCTGCAGTGTTTTTTAAAAAAGTGTCACTCTAGGCTGGGCACTGTGTAATCCCAGCACTTTGGGAGGCCAAGGCGGGTAGATCACGAGGTCAGGAGATCGAGACCGTCCTGGCATGAGCCACTTCAGAAGAACAATTTGCAGTCATATGGTCCACCACTTTGATCAGGCCAGATTTCAGTAGGCATGGCAGGAAATTCTCCTGAGTACACGTAAGGAAACTCATGTCTGGGCCACTTGTCACGTGAAAGCCAAAAACTCAAGAGAAAAGCTTTAGTGAAAGGAAAGTAGCTTTATTCAAGAGGTCATCAACCCCAGGGGAGGCAGTGAACTGGCATTCAAAGGCCACCTCTGGTTTCTAAGGGAAATTAGGAGAAACGATGATCAAAACATTTTTGTGAAACGTGTGCAGTCTCAGGTCGGCAGTAAATCACTGTTTTCTTGGTCAACATTTTTGGCTTTCTGCAGATACCATCAGTCTATTCTTATCAGATTAGTCAGCCCTTTCCCAGAGATGCTGGTGAGGGTATTTTCTTTTATCTCTGTTCAAGGTTCCTGAGGCTGATTTTAGTGAATCATCTACAAATCCAAGCAAAGTAATAATTATATTCAAGTAAGAAAGCTTTCCTCTAACGTGGAATCAATACTGTCACATACACAGCAAATAGTGCCTTCTATTCAGTAACTAATAAATAGGAAAATTTGAACCTCTTTAGAGGAGAATCTGTCTTACGTGAGGTTTCTGGTAACATACAGCTCTCTGGCTTTTAAAGGTGTGTTAGTAATTTTATACCAGAAAATATGACTTCACTTGGTGGTTTAATTACTTATTCACTTCAGAAAACCCTGCTTGTTACAACAGTATGTGCCCATGTCAGGGTTACTTGATGACCTGAGCTTAATGGAGAAGAATTTTGTGGATGATGAAAAATAGAAAATTTCGACCTGGGATTAAAATTGATGATAAGTCGTTAAAAAATGGATTTGAGCTCCACATTGTCTCTTCTAAGTTTAGTTCCATCTCATGAAGAGGTAGCAAAGTCTGATATAGAAGGTGGTGTCAGAGCAGGTGCTAGATGAGACTTGATAGTAGTCCAATGACAGAACAATTTTGGAAAATACAGTCAGATCAATTACTCTTTTTTTTTTTTTTTTTTTTTGAGACAGTTTCACTTTTGTTGCCCAGTCTGGTGTACAATGGTGTGATCTTGGCTCACTGCAACCTGTGCCTCCCCTGTTCAAGCAATTCTCCTGCCTCAGCCTCCCAAGTAGCTGGGATTACAGGCATGTGCCACCACGCCAGGCTAATTTTTTGTATTTTTAGTAGAGATGGGGGTTTCTCCATGTTGGTCAGGCTGGTCTTGAACTCCCGACCTCAGGTGATCCACCCACCTCGGCCTCCCAAAGTGCTGGGATTACTGGCGTGAGCCACTGAGCCCAGCCAATTACTGTCTTTTTATAATTTGTGTTGGTATAGTAGGGAAACCTAGTCTATGTCCCTTGATTGAGGTGGCTTTAATGCTTTTTGAGCTGATGGTCATCTTAACATCCAAAAATTTTTTATAAGAGATTATAAAAAATGTTAAGATGCTGATTGGAGGAGGATAATAAGACAGAGAAAAATGCTACTAGATGTGCATTTCCTGTGTATATTAGAGTTTAGAGAAGGATACCCTTCTTTCTTTCTTTCATTTCTCCCTCCCTCCCTCCCTCCCTCCCTCCCTCCTTCCCTCCCTCCCTCTTTCCTTCCTTGCTGCTGTTGTAGCCAGTGGAATAACCTGGAGGTCTCAGCATTGCCTTACCTTTATGCACCTGGTCCCATATCATATGGCTGGACAATATTTTGAGATGTTTATGGGTTTAAAAATCTTTCCTTTTCCACTTTTCATTCTAACTATCCATTTGTAGCAAGTTCTGTGTGCCAGTGCCTTGGGGAAGGATATGTCAGGGAGGAATACAGAGTCATCCTGGAACTCTTTGTATGTTTGTTTGCAAAAGTCAAAAGCCTAAGATAGGATAAAGTTTAAGGAATTAAGCTTAGAGAAGAGAAAGAGGTAGGATTCTTCAGCCTCAAGAGAGTGCCCTTACCCCAAACCTGGGCAAGAGAGCCCTGGCTATGACCCTGATTTGCCAGAGGAGCTGTGCATTGCTCCCTGGCCTCAAAGGGACAACCTCCTGCTACCCTTCAGGCCTGGAGCTCCTGGCTTCACCTAAGGTTCCTCTGCTTCATCTGAGGCAGGGGAACCCCTGAATGCCAGCTGGAGGTCTCGGACAACGACTGAAGGCTTGATTGACAAGGATGGCTAGAATGACCAGAACTGATTGGAAATTAGAGATATTATTTCCTGGGGCACATTGATCAATTTTTGGTAAAACCCTTGAAGGGGGAAGGAGGCTAATAATGATGGAGAAACAATTTCTTACCATTCTAGTGAGTTAAGGACATAGATGTTTGCTTATTCATTTAACAGATATTTATCAGAATTATTTGATCAGTCAGGCACTGTTCTAATGGCTTAGGACATATTCACGGACTAAAGAAAGATTCCTGTCCTCATGGAGATAATATTATTCTATGAAGTTATTTTTCTCTGAGCAGTTTTATTCTTCACTTCCTCTTTCTTCATTTCCTCTTTCTGATTGGGCTCCTTTTCCACCCCCAATTTTTGGAGCAGAAAGAGAGTGACTCCTAGGTGGTTGATGAAGAACATGCAGATTAGGAGAGGGCTGTGGGAGAGAAACATTTGTTTCAGAGTATGACCAAGAGAAAGATATCCCTTGTTAGAGGGTGGGGATATCCCTTGTTAGAGGGCGGGGATATCCCTAGTCAGAGGGCAGGGATTGGGACGTAGAGTAGAATTCAAACATCTCTTCGCTTTTCAATGTGCAATTGTGTCTCCCTTCACTACTGCTGCAGTGAATTTTTCTCATCTCAGAACCCTTTCCTCAACACCTACCCCTTCTGCTCTGAGATTGGTGACAGCTGCCGCAGTCCCCCACCAGCATTTTCTTTCCCAGGCTAGGTTGTCAGGACCATCCTTCCGCCATGATTGGCAAGCAACGTAATCTGCCTGGCTGTTTGCTAATGTGATGAGAAAAGCAATCTTCCCTCTTAGAAGCAGGATCTCAGTGACACTGTTGTGATTGCATTCTGAAAGCTTAGGTCAAATGGACCATGCCTTCAGTGAAGATAATTCTGGAATTTTTCTACTTATCAAGTTACCTTAGTAATTTTCTGGTCCCTCTGACAGAGAGTACAAGTGAATCAATCAACCCATCATCGTCCCTCCATCCAGGCCAAGTGAATTTACATCTCCACTGGAGAAGAAACAAAACAATAAGCAATCGGTCTATGTTTTGTAGAGCAATTCCATTTTGATTAATCTATTTTTTGTCTTTTTTTTCCAGTGTCTTCAATATGGACTTTATGTGCGTCTATTGTAAGCACTGACTGGTGATCAAAATGAGAAACACCACACTCATTAATGTTCTGTAACATCAAAAGGGGAACAAATACCTTGTATTTATGTAGTGTAGGCAGAAAAGCCAAACATTACTTCCTTCATCCTCACAGCAATAACAAAATGTGGTTCATCCAAAGACCACTGGATGAGGAGTCACAGACATGAGCAGTTGTCTCAGCTTAACCATCACTGGCTGTACAGTTAGTGAACACACTAGCCTTAGATAAGTCAGTTAACACACTAGCCTTGGTGTTCTCATTTTAGAAGTAAATGGGCTGAGCTGAGTGTGGTGGCTCACGCCTGTAATCCCAGCAGTCCGGGAGGCCGAGGCAGGCAGATCATGAGGTCATGAGATTGAGACCATCCTCGCTAACACAGTGAAACCCTGTCTCTACTAAAAATAAGAAAAATTAGCCAGGTGTGGTGGTGTATGCCTGTAGTCCCAGCTACTTGGGAGGTTGAGGCAGAATCACTTGAGCCTCGGAGGCAGAGGTTGCAGTAAGCCAAGTTCGTGCCACTGCACTCCAGCCTGGGCGACAGAGCAAGACTCTGTATTAAAAAAAAAGAAAAAGAAAAGAAGCAGCAAATGGGCTGGATTAGATTAATTCTAAAATCTCATTCAGCTCCAAAATTCTGAG